AATTTGAAATGTATTGTAAAGCAGGCCAAATACTGCTATCCTTAGAAAGTCTGCTTACAAAGTTGGCATTGACTAGCATCTGGAAACTTGAATTTTAGGGGTATTCCCACAGTTGCCTAACTGACAAGGGTGGTTTATAAACAATATGGTTTATGCTCAACATTTGCTTTCCTTTAGGGAGTTTGGAATTTTTGTATATGCTAGGCAGTTAATGCCTCCATGAATAGCCTCCAGTAAAAGAACTAGGCACTAAATCACTAGTGAGTTTTCCTAGAGGACAACACCGCACATATTTTGTCACAATTGATGCTGGAGGAATTAATTATCACTGGGAAAATTACTGGAAAAAGATACTTGGACGCTTGCATCTGGTTTTCTCTTGACTTTACTACAAGCACCTCTTTCAGGGACTGATTTTCTTATGTACCTTTCATTGTAATAAGTCATAACTATGAGTATGACTATATCCTGAGTCCATTGAATCCTCCCAGAATCACTGAACCTATGGGTCACAGACCTATGACATGGATCACTGACCTAAATACAATAGCTAAAACTACCGAACTCTTAGAACACACCAGGAAAAATCTTTGACATTAAATTACGCAAAGATTTAAAAAGGTCACAAAAAACTATGAAGTATAACTGGAAAAAAAAAACCATAAAATGGACTTTATCAAAATCAAATGTTTGTTTTTTAATTTTTTTTCACATATATTTATTTTTGAGAGAGAGAGAGACAGAGACAGAGCACGAGCAGGAGAGGGGCAGAAAGAGGGAGACACAGAATCTGAAGCAAGCTCCAGGCTCCAAGCTGTCAGCACAGAGCCCAATGCGGGGTTCGAACCCACAAACCGTGAGATCATGACATGAACCGAAGTCAGACGCTTAACTGACTGAGCCACCAAGGCGCCCCTCAAATTTTTTTTTTTTAAATATTAAGAAAACAACAAGGTGAGCCACATACCAAGAGAAAATAAATAATAATAACCATCTATCTGACAGAAGACTAGTACCAGAATTCTTACATTTTAATAAGAAGACAAAAAAGATGTGAACAGACATTTTAGGAAACATATGACTAACCAATAAATCATAAAAAGATGCTCAACATCACTAAATACAGGAAAATGTAGGGGCACCTGAGTGGCTCAGTCAGTTAGGTGTCTGACTTCAGCTCAGGTCATGATCTCACCATTTTGGAGTTAAAAACCTACATTGAGCTCTCTGCTGTCAGCACAGAGCCTGCTTTAGATCTTTTGTCTCCCTCTCTCTCACCCCCTCTCTCAAAAATAAACAAACATTTAAAGAAAAAAAGAAAATGCAAATAAATGTACAATGAAATACCATTATACAGTTAACAATGTGTATTAAAGGGTTGAATAAGGTCAAGTTGGAAGGGATGTGAACCAACTGGAACTCCCATACAATTGCTGGTAGGAATGCAAATGATACATCCACTCTGGAAAACTCTAGGACACTATCTCCTAAAAACTAAATATACAGGGATGCCTGGTGGCTCAGTTGGTTGAACATCTGGCTCTTGATATTGGCTCAGGTTATGATGTCACGGTTAATGGGTTCTGGCAACACAGAGCCTGCCTGGGATCCTCTCTCTCCCTTTCTGGGTACCCCTCCCTGCTTGCTCTTACACTCTCCTTCTCAAAATAAAAAAAAAAGTTAAATATACATTTCCCAGATGGTGCAACTTATGTATTCCTAGGTAATTAGAATAGAAAAAATTAAAGAAAATTAAAATACAAGAAAAATTAAAAATTAAAAAATATGACCACACAGCATTTTATTCAAGTGTACTTCAAAAGGTAAATTTGAAAATTGTAAAGTATAATTACAGTAAAAAAGGAACAAAATGGGAAGACATGAAACAGTACAGTTGAATCTCATAACTGCAGGTAAAAGGAGTCAAATTCGGGGCACCTGGGTGGCTCAGTCAGTTAACCATCCAACTTTGACTCAGGTCATGATCCCGAGGTTCATGTTCAAGCCCCACGTCAGGTTCTGTGCTGACAGCTCAGAGCTCAAACCTGCTTCAGATTCTGTGTCTCCCTCTCTCTCTGCCCCTCCCTCTCACTCTCTCAAGTAAATAAAGAAATGAATAAATAAAACATTTGAAAATATAAAATCCAGATGATACCATACTGTACAGTTTAATTTATAAGAAAATTTTTTTAATAAGAAATTCTAAAAATGACAGAACTAGTGACCAAAAGCAGATCAGTCGTTGCATGGAGACTCAAAATGGATCTCAGCCCTATATGTAAAAGCTAAATCTACAAACGCAGGAAAAAGACAAGTGTAAATCTTCATGACCTTGGATTAAGCATCCATTTCTTAGATATGACACCTCAAACACAAGCAAATGAAAAAATAGAACTAGAATTCATCAAAATTTACAGTGTCTGGGGACGCCTGGGTGGCTTAGTCGGTTGAGCGTCCGACTTTCGCTTGTGTCATGATCTCGCGGTTCGTGGGTTTGAGCCCCGCGTTGGGCTCTGTGCTGACTGCCAGCTCAGAGCCTGGAGCCTGTTTCAGAGTCTGTCACTCCCTCTCTCTGACCCTCCCCTGCTCATGCTGTCTCTCTCTCCTAGAACTAAATAAAACATTAAAAAAAAAAAAATTTACAGTGTCTGTCCTTCAAAGGACACAATCAAGAAAATGAAAAGATAATCCATAGAATGGGAGAAAATATTTGCAAATTAGACAATTGATAAGAGTCTAGTGTTCAGAATATATAAAGAACTCTAACAATAAACAACAGAAAGAAAATCCAATTATAAAATGGTAAAAGGATCTGAATATTTGTTCAAAGAAGATGCAGAACCAGCCCACAGATGATCAACAGGTTTTTTTATTAGAGAAATGTAAATCCAAATTGCAAAAGCAGTAATGAGATTCCACTTCACACCCTCTAGGATAACTGTAATCTAAAAAACAGACAGTAATTTTTTTTTTCAAAAAAGAAAAATTAGTATTGGGGAGAATGTGGAGAAATTGTAACTTACATACATTGTTGACAGAAATGTAAAATGATGCAGCGCTGTGCAAGAGTTTGACAGGTCCTCAAAAAAACCCAACAGTAACCATAAAACCCAGCAATATCACTCCAAGGTACACATACAAGAGAAATGAACAAAGGGGTACACACACAAACTTGCACAAAGTGTTAGTGTTATTCATGATAGCTAAAAAGCGGAAACAACCCAAAAGTCACTAATGAATGAATATAGAAAATTCAATACGTCCATACAATGGAATATTATTCAACAATAAAGAGGACTGAGGTACTTATACACACTACAACATGGGTGATCTTTGAAAACATTATGCTAAGTGAAAGAAGCCAGATACAAAAGTCACATCCCTTACCACTTCATTTATATGAAATGCCCACAACAGGCAAGTCCATAGAGACAGAAAGCGGATTCAGGGTTGCGTAGGGCTGGGCGCATAAGGAGTGACTGCTAATGAAAGCAGGATTACTTTTTGAGGTGATAAAAATACAGAGGAAGTAAACAGCAGTCAGTAATGGTTGCATAATTCTGTAAATCACTGAATGACCCACTTTAAAAGTTTATGGCACATTAACTATATTTCAATAATCTTTTAAAAAGAAGAATGACTAAAGCAAAATAATAACCATATATTCTTAGGTGATTTTAGCAATATTTAGAAGTAAAATGTATGATAACTTAGGAAAAGGTAGGAGGGAGAAAATGGAAATGTATTACCATAAGGTTTTCAAAGTATGTATGAAATGCTATAATGTTGATTTTAAGTGAAAAACTCCCTTATATCCTTAATTTCTACATCATAAATCCACCTATCTCCACCTAAAACATCTGCTCTGATGACAGTCCTTGAAAATATTCTTCAGTGAAGACTGCTACTCCTGCCAAACTTTCCAGACTCAAAAAGAGAGCTAAGCTTATTTCTCACACTGTTGGCAATGGGCAAAGAGGAAGCATGTGCTGGCATTTTCATTCTCATGTATATATCACTACTTCTTACTGAGTAAATGTATCCTCCAATCATTCCCTACATCAGCTGTGAGATCCATGAGAGATGTCATCATAAAATTCTCTTCATTACTACCTTCTATTCTTTAGAAACACAAGCCATTTGTTCAGATCAATCTCTCATCCCCTTCACTTGAACTCTTCATCCTACTCCTCTACTCATTCGCTTCTGCACTGGCTCATACTTTTCTTCTGCACTTTACCAGAAGTCATTAGTCCATATGACCCAAAATTACCTTGGCCTCAAAGTGCTATGAATTCCTATTTCAAACACCATGTATAAACCTACACAGAAACAAGCAGTCAAAGGTTCACACTCCCTCCTGCCTTCTGCTCACCTCCTACTATATCAAGGCAAGGTATACCAGAGCTAGAATGTTTCAAAAAGGGTCCTAGATTTGGAACGATAATACTTTGATTTAAATACTGCCCTAATACTGAATGAACTTACATCTGTTTCAATGGATATGTGCTATCTTTTTTTCTTTTTCTAAGTTTATTTATTTATTTTGAGAGAGTACACAAGGTGGGTAGGAACAAAGAGAGAAGGGGGGAAATTCCAAGGTAGGTTCTGTACTGTCAGCATGGTGCCTGATGCTACACTTGAATTCACTAACCGGGAGATCAGGACCTGAGCTGAAACCAAAAGTCAGATGCTAAACCAAGTCCCCGGGATATGTGCTATCTTAACATTAAGTCCCCAGAGCAGAATGCCAACTAAACTGGTTCTAGGAATACGCAACAAGTTACCATCATTCATTCAGGTGAATTAAACTCAATTTACTTTTCACATTCGCCATCCAAAAATCCAAATACTGTTTATTCTGTTTAAGATTATGAACATTTTAATTATAACAAAATATCTAGTGATACTTAAGGATCTTATATAACATTTCAAAGTAACTAAAAAGTATGATTCTTTTGTAACAGAAGGAATTAGAAAATTATGAATCAAAACAATACCTCAATATTTTTACTGGCCACATTCTTCACAACAGCAGGAAACAGTTCAGATGCATTTTTCCCTTTTGCAATCATCTGAAGAATAAAAGTGGAGTATTAGAGCTGAAACCTTTTATAAATTAGTCATTTGAAAACAAAAATTCTATATACATTATTTAGAAAACTGAATTAGCAAATAAACTGTGGAAATAACAAGCTAAAGTCTTTTTGAATCACCTTAATTATCCCAACTATTTATATCAAAGAACAAGTAATGTCTTGTTTATCAATATAAATATACAGAGGAGCGTTGGTGGTATAATGGTGAGCATAGCTGCCTTTCAATATAAATATACTAATACATAGACACATTAAAGAAAAAATACATAGTAATTCAAGACATACAATGAAATATTTACAACAGTTTTCTTTGCCTAATGAAGCTATAAATACTTTTAAAATATTTGTACTGTTATTTTCCACGTTCTTACATTAAAGTTATACTGTATTTGCAATGGGGATGGTGGAGAATAAAAGTTATTTCATTTGAACAAACTATTTCTTCCTTGGCTTTCTTTTCATAGGTTTCCCTATCTCCAACCATTCCCTTTCAAAATTCCCTTCACCAAGTCCTCTTCTCTGCTCACTAAGTTCTGCATATCACCACCTTCGAGGCTATACTATTCTATAATCTCTGAAACTCCTAACATTTCATTCACCCTCATCATTTAACTCTCGTGCTATGGGGATCAATTCCCCAAACTCTTCCCCTGACTCTGAGCCCTAGTTCCACTTCTGTAACTGGACATCATTAGATGTCTCTCTCACCTCAAACTTGCTATCTAAAACCAAACTCATTTTTTCATGATAAAATAGCATTTGTGCTACAAGTTCCTATTTCCACCAATTTTCCTAGATACCAGAATCCACACATTTATCTTGGTCTCTTCCCACACCTACACAGTAACTAGGTCCTCTTGTGATGTCTTTGTACAATCACGTTAATCCTTTCTGTTACTATCCTAAAATAGGTCAATATCATCTCACAAAGGTCTCTTCCAACAGACTCCTGCTCCTGTCCATAATGTACATAACTGACAGTTTCACATGCTTAAAACATTACTGTGTACATGTCAGCCCCTCTCAAAGATTTCAAAAGACACTGACTGCCTAAAAATCCCAACTATTTCACTTAATATTAAATGCCCTCACAATTTGCAACATCCCTTTTGAGCTTATCAACCATTATTGTTCTACACCAACACTATTATCAAAGTAAACTGACCTACTTACTACCAGAACATTCTCTGGCTCCTCTATGCCTTATTACAGCCCCCAAGTCCATTCTTTTTACTTTTCACAGTTCTCCAAAATTCTAAGCATTCTCCCTCCCTAGAGCCATCTAAAAATAACTGGCCCACATTGCTGTTCAATTCTAATTTCCTCCAAAATTTTTAAACTCACACTCTTCATTTGGAATTTCCTATGTGCTATATTTTATTTCTATTTATTATAGTTTTATGTCTACCTGTATCCCCATTTCCTTCACAATCTCAGAATATATCTTTATATCTTTTAATCATCTAGACTTTGGTAGCTACAAAACAAAGTTTAAATGACAGGATGATTTTCTGGAAAGGGATTCTCCATGAATCACACACCATATCTAAAAACTACCTAAAAGTGGGGCGCCTGGGTGGCTTAGTCGGTTGAGCGTCCGACTTTCACTTAGGTCATAATCTCGCGGTTCGTGGGTTCGAGCCCCGCATCGGGCTATGTGCTGACTGCCAGCTCAGAGCCTGGAGCCTGTTTCAGAGTCTGTGACTCCCTCTCTCTCTGACCCTCCCCTGCTCACGCTGTCTCTCTCTCTCCTAGAAATAAATAAAACATTTAAAATAAATAAATAAATAAAATAAAAACTACCTAAAAGAGATGGAAGTGATTAGTTTTAAAAATTCATGACAAATGTTTTATTATACACTATGTGATATTTTAAGCATTAAAATCCCAATTAGCCATTTTCAATAAGATCTTTCTACATGATGGCTTAAAAACACTCTAATATAAGCTAGTCTTTTCATCTTCTATTTCCTTACCTATCATATTATGATTTGAGTATTCTGTGAAACCTGCTGCATATTACGGAAGGTTCACAAAATACTGCAGCTAAAACATCTTTATTATGATTTTTACACCTTCCTCAATTTCCTCATCTGTAAAATAAGGAGAGAGGGAACAAACATTTTCTAGGGCCCACGGCTTAAGTTATTCACTGAATATCTGAAGTTGGAGATCATGTCCCATTTTATCCTGTTCCAAGGACTGATTCCCTAACCGTTCTACAGAACATTATTCAAAAAGATGTTAATAGATGAGGGGAAAAAAAAAATCCTACAGTCAAATTCATTCAACAAATATTTCCCAAAAGGCACTATATGCCAGGGACTATTGTAGGCCTTGGGGATACAACTATGAAGAGCACACAGTCCTTGCCTAGTGATGCTTACTTTCTATTGGGGGCTAGGAACAATAAACAAATAAATACAATGTGTGAGACGGTAAAACAGAGCACTAAGGAAAAAAATAAAGGACTGTATGAGAAATGGAAAATGCCAGGTTGGCGGTAGGAGCTGCTCTTTTAGGTTTTGTTTAGTGTTTTTGCGATATGTATCTCCCACCCTTATATTTTTAACCTATGTCTTTATATTAAAAGTGGGTTTCTCCTACAGAACATATAGTTGGATCTTAATATTTTCATCCAATATGACAATCTGTTTTTAGTTGGTAACTTTAGTTCACTCACATTTAATACAATTATTGGTGTGGTTAGATTCAGGTCTACAATTTTTTTTAAGTTTATTTATTTTGAGAGAGACAGAGAGCAAGTAGGGGAGGTGTGGGGGGCGTGGGTAGAGGATCCAAAGCGGGCTCTGTGTTAACAGCACAGAGATCGATACAGGGCTCGAACTCACAAACCAGGAGATCATGATGTGAGCCAAGATCAAGAGTCAGTCACTTAGCTGACTGAGCCACCCAGGAGCCCCCAGGCCTATAATTTTTTTTTAAATTTTTTAATGTTTTATTTATTTCTGAGAGAGAGAGCGTGAGCAGGGGAAGGTCAGAGAGAGAGGGAGACACAGAATCTGAAGCTGGCTCCAGGCTCTGAGCTGTCAGCACAGAACCCGACACGGGACTCGAACTCACGAACCATGAGATCATGATCTGAGCCGAAGTCGGACGCTTAACTGACTGAGCCACTCAGGCGGCCCCCCAGGTCTACAATTTTATTATTTGTTTTCTGTTCACTGCGTGTGTTGTTTATCTGATCTCTGTCATTCCCATTATTTGTGAACTTGTTATTATTTGGTATTTTAATGTTTATACTGATTTTTTGTTTATATTTTTTTGAAGAACTTTTAGGGTTCTTCCTCTAGGGATTATTAGATAGATAAATCAAGATTCAACAAACCTTTCACAGTCTACTTAGGTTTAATATTGTACCAGGTCAAATAAAATGTAGAAACCTTACAACCAGACAGGCCCTTTAATCCCACCTCCATGATAGCCTTTATATTATAGCTATCCTATCTATCTACATCTATTTGAAACCTCCAGACAGTGGCATAACTTAAGAAGAATAAAATTAGTCCTTTATTTTTGCCAAATACAATGGACCCTTGAACAATGCAGAGGTTAGGGGTATCAATACCCTGTAGATTCAAATATCCATGTATAACTTTTGACTCCTCCCCCAAATTAACTACTCATAGCCTCCTTTTGAATGGAAGTCCTTTGGATAACATAAACAGCTGATTAACATATATTCTATATGTTAGATATATACTGTACTCTGCTGATAATAAACTAGAGCAAATATTAAGAAAATTATGAGAAAAATATCAAAAGGAAGAGAAAATACATTTACAGTACTATACTCTAAAAACAACATGTAAAAGTGGACCCATGCAGTTCAAATCTGTGCTGTTCAAGCATCATCTCTATCTTCTTTCAGTACTTTAAAGATGTTCTACTGTCTTCTGGCTGCCATAGTTCTGATGTTATTAAAAATCACTGGTCCTTGGGACACCTGGGTGGCTCAGTTAGTTAAGCGTCCAACTTCAGCTGAGGTCATGATCTCACAGTTCATGGGTTTGAGCCCCGTGTCGGGTTCTATGCTGACAGCATAGACTGGGGCCTGCTTCAGATTCTGTGTCTCCCTCTCTCTGCCCCTCCCCCACTCGTGCTCTGTCTCTCCCTCTCTCTTCCTCTCAAAAATAAATTTAAAAAAACAAACAAAGGGGCGCCTGGGTGGCTTAGTCGGTTAAGCTTCCGACTTTCACTTAGGTCATGATCTCGCGTTCGTGGGTTCGAGCCCCGCGTCGGGCTCTGTGCTGACTGCCAGCTCAGAGCCTGGAGCCTGTTTCAGTCTGTGACTCCCTCTCTCTCTGACCCTCCCCTGCTCACGCTGTCTCTCTCTCTCCTAGAAATAAATAAAACATTTAAAAAAAAAAAAAAACAAGAAAAAATATTTAATAAATAAATAAAAATAAAATCACTGGTCCTTGTGTGTGATGTATCATTAATTTTCTAAGTACTTTCAAGATTATTTCTTTATTTTTGGTTTTCCATAGTTTAAGTGCTATGTATTTAGGAATAGTTTTCTTTGGGTTTATCCTGATTGGGAATCAGTGAACTTTTCATCTGTAAGTTTATGTCATTTGTTAATTTGGGTAGTTTTCAGTCATTATTTCTTCAAATATTTTTACTGCCCCAATCTCATTCTCTCCTCCTTTTGGACATATTTGTTAGATCCTTTGATATTATCCAACAAAACCCTGAGGCTATGTTCTATTCTTTTCCTTTTACTAATCTATTCTGAAAACTAATTTTTAATGATCTGTCTTCAACTTCTGGCTCTTCCTTCTGTTATATTTATTTTGCTATTGAGTCAATCCAGGATATATTTTATTTTAAATATGATTTAAAAATATACCAGATTATTTCAGGCATGACAGAAATTTCAACAAATTTCTACATGATGTAGTTCACTTATAATACTTTGGGAAAAAACTAATTATAAGAACACCTTCTACTGA